CAGAATCAAGCATTTTAAAGAAAGTTTTGTCTCCTTTTTGTCGCTCATTGATTGTTAGTTCATCATATTCTACTGTTTCTTTCCATATGTTAACTGCATTTGCTGCTCCAAGTCTAGTTTTTACTAGTTTGTTGCTAATTTTATTAAATACTGGCCTACCATTAACTGGTGGCAATTGTAAGAGGTCACCTACAAATAAAATATTTTTGGATCCAAACCATTCATCAGTTCCAAATATATCTTCTAAGCGCATGTGTAAGTATGCTAGATTTAGATTGGATACCATAGATACCTCGTCTACTATTATAATTTTAAAATTTTTAAGTGTCATTTTTATCCTTTTCTGAGCTTCTTTATTCAAAGCCCAATATCCAGCTGTTTTTCCCTCATGCTCTATTGGTAGCTGAAATAATCTATGTATTGTTAGTCCGCCTACATTAAATGCGGCTATACCTGTTGGTGCTACTATAGCACACAATTTCACCACTTTTTGGATGCCATATGTCATCCACTAGGCATTTTATTGCCTCTATTAAAAACGATTTACCAGTTCCACCTACACCACTAATAAACATCCTTAGCGGTTTGATATTATCTAATCTAAGTAGTCTTGAAGACTCATTCTCTAATAAGTCTTCACGTTCTTTTTGACTTATAAGATGACTCTTAATTTAATCAAAAATTCTTTTTTGATCTACATTAAGCATTGCGTCTCTTTGCTCTAATGTTAAATTAGGTACATTTATATGCATGTCAGCAATATCAGCTACTGCTTCCATTATTTCACCTAGTAATTGAGGCTCATCATCTTCCTTGTTATTAGGAAGTTCTTCTTCAGTAAAACCGGCTTTATTTCTTGCATCGACTATTTTCTTCCAATTATGTTCAGCTTCTAATAATTTCTGTAGTTTGTTGAAATGATTTTCAATGCCACGTATAGATGCCTCTCTGTGACGCCTAAAAGCTTCTTCCATTGTTTCTCCTTCCATTACGAGTGTGCTCTCGTCTCTAAAAGGCACAAATAAAAATATTAGCGAGTAATAAAAATCGTCTCTTTCCGCTTCTTGCATAGGATTAAATTTCCTATGGTTTGGAAGGACTGGCTTTGATCGAAGTTTGTATTCTCTTTCTCCATTTTCTCCTATTTTATCAAATTTGTAATTGGCAACAAATTCATAAAGAGATACATCTTCCATGTTATTTGGTCTTGTTGGATAAAAGTCTTCAATTATACTAGGATTAAAAATGCCTTTAGAAGATTGATCCATTTTAGTTAAATATGAATAGTTTTTGATTTTTCTGCTCCTCTTATGAGGCAAGTACACATTAACGTACTGTACGGTTACTGATTTCATGTATAAACTTTCACCAAGAAGAAGATCGCTAGCTTCATATAGTCCTACTTCTTTAGCTCGAAGTAATTTTTGTCCGATTTTCCAAAGCCTGCTATATATGTTGTCACAGCTGCTGACTTCATCCCATAAGTCCTGTGCGTGACTCTTTTCTGCTTTAGTGACATATCCAGTCACATAATCTGTTAAGGACAGACTCCTCTCTGCTATGTATTGCAAGTCCATATTTGCATGCCACAATTTCAACAGTAAAGGATTGTAGTCGTTGACTCGAACTTCTTTTTCATTTCGTTTGAGATAATATATTTTATTGCATGATTTCAAGCTGTTTTCTACGTCATTGATGCAAATACTATCTCGTACTGGTGTAGGAAAATCAAATCGGCATCTAGATACATAGGTCTTGCCGACTTTAATATTTCGCTTGCAGTATTTGCTGCACTTGTGCATTTGGTATTTTGTTACCAAAAAATTTAAATCAGGCGACGTATTACTATCTGGTATATGACAGGTAATCCTATCTTGTATGAAAGAACAGACTTCTTCTGGACAATCAATACCGACAACGGGAGCATTTTCAATCCATAGGAGGATGTGATAATGAGGCGCTCCACGCATTTGATATTCTTTTTTAACATAATATTGCTCTACTTTGCCTAGAACACCTCTCTGGAGAATGACTATGTTAAAGAAATCCTTAAATTTGTATGAAAATTGTCGCGATACTGAAACAGGGTCCTCAGTACATAATCTAGAAATACTATATGATTGTGGTGCATTATTCACTTTTCTTAAATATTGCGCTATATCAGCTGAATCATATTCAGCACAACTTAATGTAAGGAAAAGCTTTGGTGAGCCATACTCAGCAATCATTGCTTTGACTTCACCTTTCACACGGAACCAATATTGATTTGTGCCCCGTATTGGAGCCAACATGGTACTTAAATTGCCCTCAAATTCTTCATCTAAAACATTTATTTTTTCTAATATTTCAGCAACAGTTTGACCAACATTGCCCCTTGATGTTTTTAATAAATTACATATGCCAGTTTTTAAGGCCTTGTTAATTTTCAATCCATAATAGTGCAAACAATATGAATGATTTCTACGAAATCGAGAATCTTTGTTTAAAAGTCTAGATTTCATGTATTCACTAAATGATAAAGTCTGTGCTGGATAGCTTTGTCTGGGATGATGCTCTCCATATTGTCCAGTAGGAAATAAAGTAGGAAAGCATAACAAATCAAGATGCTCCTGCCTATTGTCTATAGGCGCTTCTTTTACATTCATTAACTTATATTGACTAATATCAGAACCTGTTGCAATTTTACTATCAAGATTTCTAATGGTATATGCCGAAAGGCCTTCTCAATCTTGATCATTTGCTTTTTCAAGCATTTTACAAGTAGTATTGCTAACTACTTGTATGACATTTTTAGATGATTCGTCGATGGAATCATCGTCTACGTTTCTATAAAGCCAATTAATTTCTTTTAATTTTCTTAGTGCTGCTTTTATTTTATTCACATCAACTAGGCTACGCCAGACATTATTTGATTTAGTAGGCTGTCCATTAATAATAATATAAAGTTCTGGATTAGGCAAATGATTAGAATCTATACCAATCTCATTTAAAGTTTCCATTGTTTTTTCTAATGGAAGGGGTAAATAAAACATTGCACCTTTAAGAGCCTTCAAAGAATTATAGGTAGGCACTTTTAAGGTGTGTGTGCCTAGCCTAACAATTGTCTGAAAACATTTGGCCCTCTGCATTAAAGACAAGTAATCCAAAAAAAGATGATGATGTCATCTTTACTTATGAAGAGCCTCCCAATCCAGATAATGTAAGGAGGAGACAAAGGGATTATGTTTATTACCCTGCTAATGAAGAAGTTCAAAGAAGGTGGTGTGAGATATTGAACCTTAAGTTTGTAACAGCTGCTAGAATCTTACCTGGCAGTCCAACAACACCATTGTCAGATGAAAGAGTTCCTAATAGTACTCTTGATGTCCCTGGTGATGGGAACTGTTTATTTTATGCCCTTTCATATCTCATTACTGGGTCCATTTCTCAGCATTATGAATTACGTAGAGCAATTGTTAGCAATATGTCAAACTTTGAAGAAGAATTGTTTAATAGTACATTAAGTGCAACCAGATATTCAAGCATATATGATTACATAAATAAGTCAAAAATGTATAGAAATTATGTGTGGGCCACTGACACAGAGATTATTACACTAACAGCATTATTAGGTATAACCATATATTCATATTCACTCACTCCTACTTTTGTTGGCTGGGCTAGATATGGAACCCAGGAGTTGTATGGCATTCCTTGTGATACTAATACACCTGCTTTGTATTTAAAGCATGTTGGTACTAATCATTTCCAAGCAGCTAAGTCTATTAATATTTCTTAAGCATTGATTGTTGATGGAAAGTGGGTATGGTGAATGGGAGGTCCATCATCTTTAAAACATTGGTTGTTTAATGTGACTTTTATTTCACTGCATGTGCAATGTAAGTGTGTGTGAAAACCAGGTGCATATCCACCCATTATTGCTCAGTATAAAGTGATCAAACTGCATTCAGGATGTGAGATTAATCAATGTATAACAGTGAATATTGATTACTTGTTGCTATAATGGACAGGGAGAGGGTGTGAAAGAGGTTTACTGTTCATTAGAGTTTAGCATTGATTCAATTTTGTGTGACTATCATTTATGTAGGACAGAGGGTTAGGAAGGGAGGAAGCTGTCATTATCAATTCCCGATCTTGTTTGTGGCTTGTACTACAAATTTATAACAAATATCAGGTGCTTATGGATCAAGGGCGCTGCTGACAAATTTTGAAGGACAAGAAAAATTTAGAGTAACAATAAAAGTTCTCATTATACATGTAGTATCATTCAAGCAGTGATTCTGTACATATATTAATGATCATCATACATGTCAATACTGCCATCAATGCTGTGCGCATTACATATATGTAAATGCTTGCCAGCTGATGTTGCGCATAATGCTGCCATCAATGCTGTGCGCATTAAGTTAATGCTTGCCGGCTGATGTTGTGCATTTGAATGATGCTGCCATCAATGCTGTGCGCATATTAAATGCTTGCCAGCTGATGTTGCGCATCTTTTGTTGATGATTGTTGTAAATATGTGCATGTTCACATTAACAAAAAATTTTGTTTGCACATTGGAAATTCTTCATGTGCACAATGTTATTTTATATTAAGCAGGTCATGAAAGTATCTTAAATGAGGATATCATTAGTAAGCAATATTATGTCTAAAATACATGCCATGTATGATCCAATCAGAAACATTGTAGATGCTACCATTATCATTATTAGTATGTCATATACATACTTTTTATAGGTACTTATGTACTTGGCACAAGGACTACAATGTGGTGTTAAGTGCTGTTGTTATTATTAGCCTGTGAGTTTACATTGCTTGCTTTTGATGTTTCTATTACTATGCTTTACAGGTAATTACAGCTGTAAATGATTTGCTGATTCAGCAATACTTTTGCTTGATATTGGAATGTGAAATATAATTAAAGGCAATTCTGGATTTAGATTGTTGAAAATAAATTAATTTCTTTCTTAATGTTTTGTTGCAGCTCCTTAATCAGTAGTTGTATCATGCAGTAGTAGGTGCCAGTTTACATCTGTATAGGTTTCATATTATTGTAGTCTTGGCAATGGAATATGTAGTAAGATGGAGAGTATTGTGAAATGTCTTATGTATTTTTGTTATAGGTTCTGATTCAAGTTTACATACTTTAGATTAGCTTGATGATTATATCATTAATAATGGCCACAGTAAGTACTTTCTTTAGTCAATATAAATGAATGCTTGCCAATGCATCTTTTATTGTGTGCCATTAACAATACAATAATAATTGTTTGCACATTGGAATGTATTCATGTGGTCTATTAATGTGTATTTCCACAATGCAGGTCTCGTAAACTGTGGAAAAGTTTGAGAGCTGTGAGCGGGAAAGTGGCAAATGAAGCTGAATGTAAACTTAAATAGTTTCAGAACTGGACATAGATATTAGTAATTAATGATTCAAAAATTCAAAAACTGTTTTTATAATGCAGTGGGTCTTCTTATGGTTCTTATTTCAAAATTCTTTTCTTCCATTAATGAACTGATACCTAAGGCAAAAATTATAATTATCAATAAAAAGGATTATTAATTCATAAAATTTAATAAAAAGTATGGAAACAAGTAAATAAAAAATTTCTATAAATAAGAAAAAGTAGGGTTGTCAAAAAATAAAAGAAACAAGGGGGTTGAGTTCAACCATAATAATAATTATTAGTTCAATTAATAATAATAAACTTTAAGCTGGCATGTTGTAATGTTACTATAGTTTATAACACACAGTTTCTCACTTCATGTACCTATTGCTAATAGGTATTAGTGTTGTTGTAGTACCATAATTTTATATAGTTCTAGTACTAGTTCTAGAACTAGAGTTTGAAAAAATTTAGTTCTAGTACTAGTTCCGGAACTAGAGTTTGATAAAGTTTAGTTCTAGTACTAGTTCCGGAACTAAAGTTTGATAAAGTTTAGTTCTAGTACTAGTTCTGGAACTAGAGTTTGATAAAGTTTAGTTCCAGTACTAGTTCTAGAACTATAGTTTTATAAAGTTAGTTCTAGTACTAGTTCTAGAACTAGATTTCAATAAATTTTAGGTATTGTTCTAGTTCTAGAGCTAAGTTATAGTTCTTGTACTTGTTCTGGCAATAGAGTTTAAGAAGCTTAGTTCTAATTGGAAATAATTTCTAAATACTGCTTCTTTTTGCTTCTGCTGTCATGCTTTCACTGCTTAGCTTTGAACTGAACAAGTATTCAAAAGTCTATTGATATATAATTTATGTCTAAGTAACAAATTCATACATTATTTGTAATTCAGTCTTTGTTATGTACTAAAATATTTCACTGACAAATTAGTACCTTCTTTGTCAACTAATATTGTTCAACAATTCTAGTTCCAAACTAGTTCTAGTACCACAAGAGAATGTACTTTTAGTTCCAGTTTAGTTCTAGTACTGAGACTCTGGCAAAGTTTAGTTCCAGTTTAGTTCTAGTACTACAAGTCTTGTATAAACTAGTTCTAGTTTAGTTCTGGTTCTTACATTGGTTGTAAAAATAGTACTAGTTCTAGTTCTTGGAACTAGAACTATGAAAAAAAGGCCAGTACTAGAATTGATTTAGTTCTAGTACCAAGGAACTACAACAACACTAATAGGTATGTTCTCAATTTTGTATACAGTTCATGTGCA